GCCACAGCACTCACTCTAGCCTGAGCAACAGAGTAAGACTCTGTCTCAAAAATAAATAAATAAATAAAACAGATTACAGGCCGGGTGGGGTGGCTCACACCTGTCAATCCTAGCACTCTTAGAGGCCAAGGTGGGAGAGGATCCTTTGAGCTCAGGAATTCGAGGCCAGCCTGAGCAAGAGCAACACCCTGTCTCTACTAAAAACAGAAATATTAGCCAGGCATCATAGCATGTTTCTGTAGTCCCAGCTACTCGGAAGGCTGAGGCAGGAGGATCACTTGAGCCCAGGACTTTGAGGTTGCTGTGAGCTAGGCTGACACTATGGCTTCTCTAGCCTGGGCAACAGAGTGAGACTGTGTCTCAAAAAAATAAGAATAAAAAATAAAACAGATTACAAGTTCAGGTGATCTAGGAGCCAGACACATAATTTACATGTGTGAAGCTGGATGAATGTAAAACAACATGGAATAATGAGAACAGTGGTCAGCTATTATAGAAAATATATTTGCACTTGGTGTTTGTTTTTAACAGAAGCCTATGTGTACCAAGCAAAATATCATCAGCAAGCCACTGGGTTATTACTATGATCTAAAACTGTCTCCAGGGGTCATGATGGGCAGCAAGATGGCGTCTGCCAGCAGGGTCGTCCAGGTAGTCAAGCCACACACTCCATTAATAAGATTTCCTGACAGAAGAGATAATCCTAAACCCAATGTATCAGAAGCTTTGAGATCAGCAGGGTTACCATCTCACTCTTCTGCAATTTCCCAGCATTCTAAGGAAAGTAAATCACCAGATTTGCTGATGTATCAGGGTCCACCAGATACTGCAGAAATAATAAAAACATTGCCTCAGAAATGTAGAAGGAAACTTGTGTCTCAAGAAGAAATTGAATTTATCCAACGTGGAGGTCCAGAGTAATCACTGTGGCTGCTGTTTGTCATCAGACAGAAGAATTACTTTACAATAAATGCCTTCTAAAATGAAAAATTGTATATTAAGCAACTTTAATAAATATTCTGTAAGAAAATGAGATATAGAAAATTTAGATGGAGACTTGTATCTCCTAATTTATGTATCTTGGTCAGCTTCTCCACAAGCTTACCTAATTAATTATTTATATACTTTATACTTATTAAAGTATACATTTTTAAATGTTAGCCTATTTACTCTTTTTTTTTTTTTTTTTTAACAATAAATCTTGGTGAGAAGCCTATTTACTCTTTTTTTTTTTTTTTTTTTTTGAGACAGAGTCTCACTTTGTTGCCCGGGCTAGAGTGAGTGCCGTGGCGTCAGCCTAGCTCACAGCAACCTCAAACTCCTAGCCTCAAGCAATCCTCCTGTCTCAGCCTCCTGAGTAGCTGGGACTACAGGCATGCGCCACCATGCCCGGCTAATTTTATATATATATCAGTTGGCCAATTAATTTCTTTCTATTTATAGTAGAGACGGGGTCTCGCTCAGGCTGGTTTTGAACTCCTGACCTTGAGCAATCCGCCCGCCTCGGCCTCCCAAGAGCTAGGATTACAGGCATGAGCCACAGCGCCCGGCCTCCTATTTACTCTTGATCATCAAATATTACCAGTGTTGAACTATTAAAAGCACACAAGGTCTAATAAAATATAATAGGCTTCCCATAAGTTCACTTTTCTTGCTGTTTGTGTTTAGACATGGAAGGAATTTATCAGGCAGAATTGCTGTTTTAGGGACATGATTTTCCTGAATTGGATAAAGATCAGTGAAATAATGACTCCATTACTTGTTCTTAATTCTCTAACATGTTTTCATTCACAAGTTTACTGGAGTATAACTGGCTTAATAAGTATATTAATGCAGTGAGCCATGATTAAGTCATGCATTCTAGTCTAGGCAAAAGAGCAAGTCTCTGTCTCAAAAGACTGAGGAAATAACACAAAAGATTATTTGTAACCTATATTCAACACAGTATAAAGTGGAAAATAAGCAATCCAAATGAACATAGCAGAGGATTCTTGAAAGGCATTTGTCAGGAAAAAATGAGTACAACATAGGCATAAATGTTTCACTAGAAATTAACAATTTATTATGTTTTGGGGGTAAGGTTTCTTCTTTGGTTTATTTTATTGTTTTGATTGTGATCATGTCTGGAAATTCTGATAACCATTAACTTTCTCAAACTTAATGTTGAAAAGCCTCATAAATCAAACTAAATATTTACCTTATTAAGCAACTTCTGAATCTTTAATAGGGCTTTCCTGTGCCAAGCATATGTATATTGTGAACGTAAAGCCTCACAAAGCTAAATAAATTCTCTTTCCTTACCTTTAACAAAAATAAAAATAAAACTGTCTCCAGTGTGGAGGTTGAGGCTGGAGGATCAGTTGAGGCCAGGAGTTTGAGACCAGCTGCAGCAATGTAATGAGACCCCATCTCAAAGAAAATGTCTAAAAGTATCTAAACTATAATGTCCTCTCTAAAGATGGGAAGAATATTGCTTAAAAATGGTAGGAAGTAAAAGAAAAAAATCATACTTGGTGATATCATTCTGCATTTCTGGTTTATATTTTGGTTACTTATTAAGAATTCAAATTTTCCAGCGTGATTAAGTTGTTGTATGTGTAGTTTTATTCTAACCAAAATATCCTTGTCTGAAATATTTGCAGTTGTTATAATGACTGGGAGAGGGGGAAGTGTGTAAAGCTATAAATGATTTAAGCTTGGACCTAAGTTGATAATTAGGAATTTTCTATATGTTTTATTTTTTATATTTGTTGTAAAATATTTTAACATTTTTATGTGAAATAGTATATTGGATTAGCAACTTAGGAGTTTAAGTTGGTTGTTTTATTTAAACTCAATAATATGGTAAGACCGGGCATGGTGGCTCACGCCTGTAGTCCTAGTTCTCTGGGAGGCCGAGGCGGGCGGATTGCTCGAGTTCAGGAGTTTGAAACCAGCCTGAGCAAGAGCGAGACCCGTTCTACCTATAAAGGAAAGAAATTAATTGGACCAACTAAAAATATATAGAAATTAGCTGGGCATGGTGGCGCATGCTGAGTCCGCTACTCGGGAGGAGGCTGAGGCAGGAGGATCGCTTGAGCCAGGAGTTTGAGGTTGCTGTGAGCTAGGCTGACGCTATGGCACTCACTCTAGCCTGGGCAACAAATCGAGACTCTGTCTCAGAAATAATAATAATAATAATATGGTAAATATTCATATTCACTATACTTATTGATTTTATACAAAATATATGGATTACTTTTCTAAGATAGTAGTAATGTAAGAATACTTACATAAATAGTAATGTCTTACACATTTTAGAAAATAGTATAGAAGAGGTTTTTGGTGTTGCTGGGGAAGAATATTATTTTGGATTAAAAATAAATTTTATAAAAACAATGAAATTAAGTTTTGGGGGATTTTAGGGGGTTTTTTGTTTGTATTTTGAAACAGGGTCTTGCTCTGTTGCCCCAGCTAGAGTTCAGTGTCATCATCATAACTCACTGCTTACTGGAGCTCCTGGGCTCTAGTTGATCCTCCCACATCAGCCTCCCAAGTAGCTGGGACCACAGACATGTGCCACCTTACTCAGCTCATGTTTTTTTAGCAATAGGGTCTTTCTATTGCCCAAGCTGGTCTAAAACTCCAGCCTCAAGCAATCCTTCTACCTTATCCTCCTGTCTTGGCCTTCCAAAGTGCTAGGATTACAGAGCCTCCCTGCCTAGCCTTTGTGGGGTTCATGTTTGTTTGTTTTTGTTTTTTCTTAAGACACAAGGTTTTGCTCTGCTGATCATACTGGAGTGCAGTGGCACTGATCATAGCTCATTGCAGCCTGGAACTTCTGGGCTCAGGCAATCCTTCTGCCTCAGCCTTCCAAGTAGCTAGGACTACAGGCTGAAATTCAGTTTTTTGTTTTTTTTGAGACAAGAGTCTTGCTTTGTTGCCCAGGCTAGAGTGAGTGCTGTGGCATCAGCCTAGCTCACAGCAACCTCAAACTCCTGGGCTCAAGCAATCAGCCACCCAAGTAGCTGGGACTACAGGCATGTGCCACCATGCCCAGCTAATTTTTTCTACATATATATATATATTAGTTGGCCAATTAATTTCTTTCTATTTATGGTAGAGACAGAGTCTCGCTCTTGCTCAGGCTGGTTTTGAACTCCTGACCTCGAGCAATCCGCCCACCTTGGCCTCCCAGAGTGCTAGGATTATAGGCGTGAGCCATCGCGCCCGGCCTGAAATTCAGTTTTTATTTATTTTATATATTTTTTTTTGGAGACAGTCTCGCTTTGTTGCCCAGACTAGAGTGAGTGCCATGGCGTCAGCCTAGCTCACAGCAACCTCAAACTCCTGGGCTCAAGCAATCCCTCTGCCTCGGCCTCCTGAGTAGCTGGGACTACAGGCATGCGCCACCATGCCTGGTTAATTTTTTCTATATATATTAGTTGGCCAATTAATTTCTTTCTATTTATAGTAGAGATGGGGTCTCGCTCTTTCTCAGGCTGGTCTCGAACTCCTGACCTCAAGCAATCCGCCCACCTCGGCCTCCCAGAGTGCTAGGATTACAGGCATGAGCCACCGTGCCCGGCCTGAAATTCAGTTTTAAAAATGAAAGAACAGGAGGCTTGGCACAATGTCTTCTGTCTGTAATTCTCTCATTTTGGGAGGCTGAGGTAGAAGGATCACTTGAGGTCAGGATTTCAGGATCAGCCTACATAGCAAGACCTTGTTTCTACAAAAAAATAAAAAATAAAACAATTAGCTAGATGTAGTCCTTGTGACTCAGAAGGCTGAAGCAGGAGGATCACTTGAGGCCAGGAGTATGAGACCAGTCTGGGCAACATAGCAGACCCTGTCTCTACAAAAAATTAAAAAATTAGCTGGGCATGGTGGGGTTTTGTCTATAGTTCCAGCTACTCTGGAGGCTGAGTTGGGAAGATCCCTTGAGCCCAAGAGTTGGAGGCTGTAGTGAGCTATGGTCACGTCACTGCATTCCAGGCAGCATGGCCAGCAGAGCAAGACCCTGTCTCTAAAAACAGTGAAAGATCAAAGGCAGAGAATATTTTATACCGACCTGTGAAATAAGTTAAATATTAGTAAATATTATTCATTGCTTACACAGTGCCAGACCCTGTATTAAGTGCTTTGTATATATTATCTCATCTTGTAAGTAATAAGAAGTTAGCAGCTAGACTAACTCTAAGATTGGTTACTTCAGCAACCCAGCAATGTTTAGGGAATTCAGACTCTTTCCATATCTCCATTTTGCCAAGCTTAGCTTGTCTGAAGCTAGCTAGCCTCATTTTTGCAAAATGGCTATAGTAGTTCCAGGTATCACATCCAGGTGACAGCTTTCAGCAGATGAAGGATATTTTTCCCTCTTTGTGTCTCTTTAAAGACAGAGAAAAAACATATCCTAGAGACTCCCAGCAGCTCTTCCCTCATGATTTATTGCCCACCCTTAAATCAGACACTGGCAGGTAGGAACATGATCGCCATGATTAGTTACTTCATACCAATAAAGATCTACCCCTAAACTGAGTTAAAGTCATACTCCACACTCCATGAGCACAAAGCCTCATAGGGAAGGGTATTTACTTAAAAATCGTAATTTTTTTTTTTTTTTTCAAAGGAAGAAGGAGGAAAATCTACTACAGCTATCATCCCTATTTTCACAGTAGGGAGGCTGAGAAGTAGAAAATTAGGTAACTTGCCACAATCACAGAGGTAATAGGTGATGGATCTAGAAATTGAGCCAGATTTCTTTCTTCCATTCTTCATAATCACATAGTCCATGCTCATAATCACAGCACTGTTCAGCCTGCCTATAGAGACCATAACAACTTTTGGTGGACTTGATGGTGGTAGCAATGAATATGCAGATGTTGACACAATTTTTCTATCCCTCTACCTCCCATAAAACTTTTGAGGTAACCAGATGGGTTTTATTTTATATATATATTTATTTTTTTTTTTGGAGACAGGATCTTACCTTGTTGCCCAGGCTAGAGTACAGTGGCATGATCACAGCTCACTCCAGCCTCAAACCCCCAAGTTCAAGTGATCCTCCTGCCTCAGCATGCTGAGTAGCTGGGACTACAGGCATATGCCACGAGGCCTGGCTAATCTTAAAAAAATTTTTTTTGAGACAGAGTCTCACTTTTGTTGCCCAGGCTAGAGTGAGTGCCGTGGCGTCAGCCTAACTCACAGCAACCTCAAACTCCTGGGCTCAAGCGATCCTCCTGCCTCAGCCTTCCGAGTAGCTGGGACTACAGGCATGCACCACCATGCCCGGCTAATTTTTTTGTATATATACTTTTAGTTGGTCAATTAATTTCTTATTTTTAGTAGAGACGGGGTCTCGCTCAGGCTGGTTTCGAACTCCCGACCTCGGGCAATCCGCCTGCCTCAGCCTCCCAGAGTGCTAGGATTACAGGTGTGAGCCACCGCACCCGGCCAAAAATTTTTTGTAGATATTGGGGCCTCATTGTGTTGCCCAGGCTGGTCTCAAACTCCAGGCCTCAAGCGCTTGGCCTCCCAAAATGCTGGGGTTGTAGATGTGAGCAGCTGTGCCCAGCTCTTCATGGATTTAGACTGTTAATAAGATTGGGTTAATATAAAGGGAAAGTGTAAAATATGGTTTCTACTGTCTTTGTAATTTAATTATTTCTGCAAAGTAAGAATTTAGGAAGGTTTCATTAGGATTTGGATGGAAGAGTCCACCTAATGAAGCAGTAAAAATATGCATCAAGGAAAATATTCAAGATAAAGTTCAGGCAGTAGTTTGTCTTCTAGGATGCTCTGAGCAACTTTTGCATCCCATTTGGGACTTTGGGATTTTCATCGTAGTATATGTTTCAAGTTTCTGTTTTTTATCATTTGAAATGATTGTAGTCACCTGTACAAACATTTCCTTATTCTTTTTTTTTTCGAGACAGAGTCTCGCTTTATTGCCCAGGCTAGAGTGAGTGCCATGGCATCAGCCTAGCTCACAGCAACCTCAAACTCCTGTGCTCTAAGCGATCCTACTGCCTCAGCCTCCCAAGTAGCTGGGACTACAGGCATGCACCACCATGCTCGGCTGATTTTTTTCTATATATATTAGTTGGCCAATTAATTTCTTTCTATTTATAGTAGAGAAAGGGTCTCGCTCTTGCTCAGGCTGGTTTCGAACTCCTGACCTCAAACAATCAGCCCGCCTCGGCCTCCCAGAGTGCTCAGATTACAGGCGTGAGCCACCGTGCCTGGCCCATTTCCTTATTAAACACCTATATGTGCAAAGTTCTCATAAATTTATTTTGTCTGTGTCTATTCTCTTTAGGTCAGATGTCATGTAATCCTTCCTTTGGTGGCATCGGAAAGGGGCATTTAATGAGAGAAGTGGATGCCTTGGATGGCCTGTGTTCTCGCATCTGTGACCAGTCTGGTATACATTACAAAGTATTAAACCGCCGTAAGGGACCAGCTGTGTGGGGTCTGAGAGCTCAAATTGACAGGAAACTTTATAAACAGAACATGCAGGTAAGAATAGGGCATGAGCAGAGGGAAGATTATGGTGATTGTTTAACTGCTGTGTTTCAACTGGCATTGTCTTTTGACAGAAAGAAATCCTGAATACCCCCCTGCTTACTGTTCAGGAAGGATCTGTGGAAGATCTTATTCTTACAGAACCAGAGCCCGAACACCCCGGGAAATGCCGTGTCAGTGGTGTTGTTTTGGGTATGTACTGGTTATCGATGGTAATGATAGCATATCGAACTTATGTGAGAAATTCATTTCAGAGCCAAGTATGGAGATGTTTTGCTTATTCCAGGAAATTGTTTTTTGTTTTTTTTTTTCCTGGATGAGAAAAACTATATAAATAACTATGTTTTCAGAGTTTATCACTTAGTGAGAACTTGTAACCCCAGGATATCTACAAAGCAAGGGCTCCTATCTTGCCGCTGCAGGAAAGCTGGGAATCAGGTGGTGGCCTCCTAGTATGCACTGCCTGTCTCTGCACACGTTAGCAATCAAGTTAATTGAATTCATTGTGGTTTAGAACCAGGCCTCTAGCTCAGGGACGGCTTTGAATGGCCAATTTCTTCCTCCCTTCTCCCCCTCCCGGCTGCCTGTCCTTCTGCCTTGGCTGCCCTGTTTCCCTCCCCTCTGGGTTCCCCAGTCCACACCTCCTCCTCCCTGTTAAAACACCCACCAGCTCTGTAGTTAAGACCCCCTTAAGTTGGAGGAGGCAGAAAGGCAACAACAGTGAGGAAGAAGTTAAGGACGAAGAAGTCAAGACATCTGGAAAGGTCTCTTTGTCCGCCAATAGCCAAGGCCGACCGCATCCAGAGGCTCGGGGACTTAGCCTCTAGCTCGCCTACCGTCAATAAAACGTCCCTTTTGATGATCACCACAAAAAAAAAAAAAAGCAATCTGGAAACGAATTACCCGAGTCCTGGCTTCGGCAGACCAGATTGAACCAGGGACTTGAACTAACCCCAGGCAAAAACTTTGTCTCGCAATCTGTGCCACTCTGGTTCTCCTGGGGCTTCACTGGCTTCTTTTAAAAATCGAATACCCAAAAGGTGCGCTAGGGGACAGCTGGAGGAGCAAAAAGAAAAAAAATGTATACACATCTACCTTGTGAAAAAAGAAAAAAAAGAGAGAAAAAAAATTTAAAAACTGAAAAAACACTCTGTTTTCCTTTTTAAGAGACAGAGTCTTGCCATGTTGCCCAGGTTGGAGTGCAGTGGCCAATCATAGGCCTGATTATGGCACACTACAGCCTTGAAGCTACCTCGGGCGTTGAGGTTGACCGCGCTTCTGGCTCAGTTCACCCAACGCTAAGCGCCATACTACCATACTCCCACCACAAATACATTGGCTTTCTTTCGCCATTTGGACAGGCGGCGTCCTCCTGGGCTACCCCATCAATGAGTATGGAAGCTTTATACCTGGCATATTGTATGTCTTTCTCTAGCCCTGGTCTTCTTTTTGCTTTTTTTGAGACAGACGGGTCTCCACTTTGTGCGCCCGGTTACCGAGTGACGCTGCATGCGCATCAGCCTACCGGTCACAGGCAACAATCTCCGTGGCAAGCATCTTGCTGCCTCAGGCCTCCAACCGTCGCCTGGACTACAGTATGCAGCACCACCATGCTCGGTATTTTTTATCATCAATTTCGTCAGTTGTCGGAGTCTTTCTATTTGTAGTAGGACGCAGACAGGTCTCGCTCAGGCGGCGCGGCCAACAGCCCTAGAGCACATCCGCCCGCCCCTCAGCCTCCAGCTATGGCGTGGTTACGGCGTCGACCACCCGCGCGCTCCACCCTGGTCTGCGCCCAACAAGAGTTGCGACAAATTCTCATTTTCTGTTTGACCATCAAAACTTACCATTCTTAAACGTATATTTTACCACCCCAGCTGCTCTTACCTTCTTCTCTTTCTCACTCTCTTTTTTTTCGAACCCACCCCCACAAGAGAGAGGAGAGCTACGCGATTATAGTTAGACGAAAAAACCAAAACAAGAGACATAAGTAATAGAGTGACACAGATAACAGCTACTCACAGCACGTCAACTCCCCATCGGGCCTCAAGCACCTCGTTCTGAATCACATACACGAAGTAGACAGGCTGGGACTACAGCGACACATACGCAACCCAACCCGCGCAACCAACGACAACAACCATCCGGCTAATTTTTTTTAATTATACAACCACTATTACCCATCCGCGAACCCTTGGCAGACGTTAAGTATTATTTTTTATATATCCACGTAGACGCAAGCGCCAGAAGCGATCGATCCGCATACTTACTGACAGACACGCTCATAGTAATTTATGAACATCTGACCAACAACATTCAGCCAGAGCACCAACAATCCGCCCGCACCTACGGGCGACTCCACCAGAGCTGATCTCGCACGTCGAAAGCGCGCCCACGGGCCGCGCGGCGCGCGAGCAGGCCTTCTTTTATTTAAAGGAATTAATCAGATATTTTATATCTTTAACATCTCTAACAATTCTGATGATAGCTCGAATCTGTTTCTATCAAAGTGAACATGAAAATAACTTTTTTAAAAAGTCTACAGGACTGAAATCCTGAGAAATTGTGTTGGGAAACCAACTATCTCCCTCCCTGAAGACAGCCACTTTAGCGCTCTTTAGCTTATCACTTCTGCGTATCATACCCGTCTCCATATTCTTCTAAATAATCATGCTTATATGTTTTACTCTCTAAATGCTACCAGTCTCAGACATTCGGACGCTATCTGAACTTTCTTGTTATGGTCTAGCTCGTCTTTAATCCCGTAGCTTTGCCACGCCACGTTGTGGCTCATACGCTGTAATCCTAGCCATCCTGGGAGGCCAAGGGCGGGTTGGATTGCTCGACCGCGTCAGATTCGAAAACCAGCCTGAGCACGAGCGAAAATAGCCTGTCTGCTACTAAAAACCAGAGAATTAATTGACAATAAGAGACATATATCATCCAAAAATAGCAGGCACGGTGGCTCGATGCATAATAGTCCAGCTACTCGGGAGGCATGAGCCAGGAGAACTTGCTTCGCCCAGGAGTGTTGCAGGCTTGCTCGAGCTAGGCTCGATGCATGCGGCGCAACTTCCACTCTCTCGCCGTGGCACACCAAAGTGAGACTCTGTCCTTCCAAAACAACAAAACAAAATCCCCTAGCTTTACTTCGCATCTAGGACCTCTCTACAACGCATATCAGCATCCATACCGATCAATTCCTGTCTGGCTTGTGAATAGATCGCCTATCTCGTGACGTGCGTGCAGTTGTGCAGTTGCATTACAAGATCAGCCGCGCCCAGGCTTCCGGCGGCTCTCCGCCCCCCGGTGGCCGCCCTGGCGCTGACTCCCCAAGTAGCGCTTAGCACCACTCCTGCGCACTCGGTTTATGCCCCGGTTCCGTCTCTCCTCCTGTGCCTCCCCCTTCCGCCTTCTGGGCCTCATAATACCTTCGATTAATCGCGCCGCGCCCGCCGGTCTGGATCTATTCGACTTTTTTTATAACCACCCCAGCCCAGGGCTACCGCACCAGCGAAGGCTGACAGATGTGTGTCACGCCCTCTTCAGGGCGATTCCTAGCCTTTTCGTTGTACCCCACCTGCTCCAACTGTTCTTCCCATCCAGAATCCTTCCGATCAAGTAATTATCTTGTCAAAGCGCTCTCGCTCCGCCCAATGTCAGAGTGAATCAGTCACCTTCGTATTTCTTTTTCGCTTTGACGTACTCGCCGGCCGCTCCTTTTAGCAGAGCATCCAACTTTCATAGCCACCCATATCTACTATGAATCGGAAACGCCGCCATTCTCTTCGCTCAGCCCAACTTTCTTCTATTATTTTTCTGTGCTCTCTCTGTAGGCCCCCCCCCAACTCCATCCTTCCTGGAGATGTGGTTCTTCCTCTAGGTATTCTTCTACTTTTTATTTTTTGGTCTCTTTACACCACTACTCTCCTTAGATTCCTCGCGCTCCGTCAAATTCTTCCTAGTGACATTTTTTTAATGTAATTCATATTCCCTTCTCATTTATCGACGCGCGCAGGTCTCTTTTTTCTGATCTGCCTTTCCAGTTCTCTCTCACTCTTGTTCTCGCTCTCTTCATGCCTCAATTCTGATACTAAGCGCTTTCTCACGCCTTCGCTTAGTCTCGCTTAGCTTATAGATTCCTCTCGCACGCTCTCGCTTCTCGATTTATATATGTTTTCCGCTCTCTCTTTTCTTCTTCCTTCTTCAAATTTTTTTACTTATGCACTGTTTTATTTTCTTCTTCTTTGTTGGCCCCCAGAGTACGTCTTGTATCTTAGATTCTTCATCTTCTTGCTTGTCCTGCGCGCCTGCTGTCTTCATGCTACCACCCCGCGTCATCCATCATCTAGGAAACGGCGGCGCCGCGCGCTTGGCCCCCCTCCTCGCCCTGCTTTGGCGCCCGGCTGTCCTCCCCCCTCCCTTTTCTTCGCTTTTTCTCTGGAAGCAGCAGAACTTCTACCTCCGCCCCCGCTAACGCTCGAGTGCCCCCCGCCCCCAACCCACCACAACCAACCCCCCCGAGCACCGGCCTGCCCAGCCCAACACCACCCACACACAACAACCACCAAACCACCACCAACACAAAGATCAAACAACCAGAAAAATCAACAACCACAAACACCCCTCAAACACCACACTCCATTTAGTGGCGTCAGCGCTAACCGCTCAGAGCGCAAATCAGATTACTGGGCTCAGGACAATCATCTGCCCATCACTCAGAAACCTAGCTGGAGTTACAAGGCATGCGCCACGCATGACCCACGCCCACACGACGCGCTAAGTTTTTTCTAGTATCCACTTCATAACCATAGAGACTCATCAGACAATTAATCCCTTCATCTCTATGTTTTATAACAATAAATAAAGACGGGTCTGCAACTCTTGCTCAGGTTGGTTCAGAACTCCTGACCTTGACAATCTGCCACGCTCCACCTCCAGAGTGCTAGGATCACAGGCGTAAGCCATCACGGCCCACTCCATTCCTTTTTTCTTTTCTTTTTTGAGACAGACGTCTCCACTCTTGTTGCCGGCTAGAGCTGGGCTGTGCGTCCAGCCTAGCGTCACGCACCAATACACCCAACATACACAGACATAGAACAGAACGATCCGTTCTAGAATCAATCACCTCAAACCAAACAATACAACATAGGCAACAAATAGGCAATAGATGACACACGAAAAAAAATGCCCGGCTATTTTTTCTATATATATTGATTGGCCATCAGTTTCTTGTTTATCAGTAGAGCAGCAGGTCTCCGCTTTGCTGCAGCGCTGGTTTCGAACTCCTGACGCTTGAGCCATCCGCCCCGCTCCGGCCGTCCAAGAGCTAGGATTAGCAGCGTGAGCCGCCAGCGCCCGGGCCATGTCACATTTTCCTAATTGAGGGCACTAAAGCACTGATTGGAAGATTCTTCGCATGCTGTTGAATTTACTGCCTGTCCTGGATTCTGGCGTAGTGATAACTAACGATGTAATTGGCCTTTTTGTTGCTGAATTTCCAAATATCGAGGTCTGTTAGTTGCCTATTAGCAATTTGAGGACAAGATGTTAAAAGAGGCTGTGCTGGAGGCCAGGCGGGCGGATTGCGTAAAATAGGTCAAGAGAAATATATATGATACACAAGAAGCAATAAAAGAAAAGAACTGTCATAATAACAAAAAAAAAAAATAGAAAAAGAAATTAATTGGCCAACTAATATCAAAAAAAAAATGAAAAAAAATACCTACAAAATTGCCGGCATGGTGCGCGATGCCTGATAGTGCCGCCAGCTATCGGGAGGGCTGAGGGCAGGAGGATTGCTTGAGCCAGGAGTTCTGAGTGCTGGTGAGCTAGGCTGAAGCCACAGCACTCACTCTACCTGGGCAACAAAGCGAGCTCATCCTCAAAAAAAAAAAAAAGAGGCTGTGCTAGGGTGTGTAATCTTTTAAAATACATACCTTAATTCCCCTGTTTTCATTTTTATTTTATTATATATTTATTAATGCTTTTGAATGAGAAATACATACACATGACAAATAATTTAAAGGGTACAAGAGCATATAGAATGAAGTCTCTTTCCTTCACCTTATCTTCTAGCCAACCAGTTTTCTTTCTCAGGACCATTTGCTGGTCCTGGTTTCTTGCATGGTTTTTCTATCTGTGCATATATATATGCCTTCATGCATATGTATACATGTTTTATATTTTGTTCACAAAGTAGCAGCATATTATACATACTGTTGTATACTTTTGCCCCCACTTAACCTGTGTCTGCTTTGCTTTTGGAGACCATGTTTCTTTTTTAAAAGTTTGTGGGCTTATTCTGGTGGTTACCTTAGTAACCATGATTTTCTATGCTTAATTTTCTCTTTCTTCAGTTAAAGTTTATTGACTTCCCTCTGTGAATGATTACTAAATTATGTACTAGCTTTGTTTTCATTTCCTTTCCTTCTCCACCCCACTTCCTTTCTTCTCCAGATTTAATGATTATATTATTTGTACTAGGGTAGACTTTTATTATACCCTTATTTATACTTCTATTACTTGATTTAATATCTTTAAATGCTATTTTGGATTCTGTCTCTATTTTGTAGGCCCAACAATAACAATTTTTTTTTTTTGTGGTGAAGCATACATAACATAAAATTTACCATTTTAACCCTTTTTAAGTGTACAATTCAGTGCCATTAAGTACGTTCACCATCACCACTAACCATCTCCAGAACTTTGTCACCACTCCAAACTCAAATTGTGTCCCCATTAAACAGTAAGTCTCTGTTGCCTGAAGAATAAACCTCCATTTTCCCGTAAGGTATATCTGTCTAGGGACAATAGCTTAATATAGAGATTTCAACTATTTCTTTCACTTTCAGCCCCAAGTTTCATTCCTTCATTCCTCAGTTCTTATTTTCAGTTCTCCAATTTCTGATCCTTTCTAGGACAAATTAGTTCGTTCTCATTGGTATCTTCTCTTCAGGTACTTGAGTTATAGCTGTCTCCCCTCTGCTAGGTTAGCTGTCATTCTACCAACTACTTTCTATCTTTCAAAAATATGTTGAAGCCGGGTGCGGTGGCTCACGCCTGTAATCCTAGCACTCTGGGAGGCTGAGGCGGGTGGATTGCTCGATGTCAGGAGTTCAAAACCAGCCTGAGCAAGAGCGAGACCCTGTCTCTACTATAAATAGAAAGAAATTAATTGGCCAACTAATATATATATATATAGAAAAAATTAGCCGGGCATGGTGGCGCATGCCTGTAGTCCCAGCTACTCGGGAGGCTGAGGCAGGAGGATTGCTTGAGCCCAGGAGTTTGAGGTTGCTGTGAGCTAGGCTGATGCCATGGCACTCATTCTAGCCTGGGCAAAGTGAGACACTGTCTCAAAACAAACAAACAAACAAAAAAACACCATGTTGGCCAGCCACAGTGGCTCAGGACTGTAATCCTAGCACTTTGGGAGGCCAAGGAGGGAGGATTGCTTCAGGTCAGGAGTTCGAGACCAGCCTGAGCAAGAGCAAGACCCCGTCTCTACTACAAATACAAAGAAAATTAGCCAAGCAACTAAAAATAGAAAAAATTAGCCAGGCATGGTGGTGTGTGCCTGTAGTCTCAGCTACCTGGGAGGCTGAGGCAGGAGGATCGCTTGAGCCCAGGAGTTTGAGGTTGCTGTGAGCTAGGCTGATGCCACGGCACTCTAGCCCAGAGTGAGACTCTGTCTCAGAGAAAAAAAAACAAAAAACATAAACAAAAACCAAATATTATAAAAAGATTCTCAGGTTTCTAAAGATTGAAAGTTTTTCTGTAGTTCTAGAGTAAAATAGTCACATTCCATTTTGATGCATATAACAATTAACGGTTTTACTCTTTTTCTTGTCATTTAGCGGATGGAAGCACAGTAAATGCAGAAAGTGTGATTCTGACTACTGGAACATTTCTGAGGGGCATGATTGTAATTGGATTGGAGAGGCATCCAGCAGGACGGTTAGGGGATCAGCCTTCTATAGGGTTGGCTCAGACTTTGGAGAAGTTGGGGTTTGTGGTGGGAAGGTTGAAGACTGGGACTCCACCCCGCATTGCCAAAGAGTCCATTAATTTCAGCATTCTAGACAAGCATACACCAGATAATCCATCCTTACCATTCAGCTTTGTCAATGAGACAGTGTGGATTAAGGTAAGATAATTTATGAAAACCTGGCTTTACAGCTGATATTTATGACAATTCACAGCAGGAATTAGTCTAACCATTTGTTTTGTTTTTTTCTTTTTTGGCAGCAGTTCACTATTATAGTATCACTATAGCTTGCAGTGCAAAGAAGTAATCTTTAAGAGTAGCTAAATTTGCTAACTGGGTGTTTCTGTATAGTTTTAAATTTCATTACTTTGGAGGGAAGCAGCAGCAAAAAAGAAAATAAATCATTACTTCTATAATTTTACCTATTTTGTAAATTAAGTTTTTTGAAACAATTTTAGACAGAAAATTTGCAAGACTATTACAACAAATCATTGGAAATCACCCATTGTTAATATCTTAACCTTATTTATTTCTCTCTGCGTATGGACATATTGATATATATGGATATATTTAATTTTTAAGACAGTAATATGCACATTTTTATTCTTTTTTCCTGGAATGTTTTTCTTTTCTGGAACATTTGAGAGTAAATTGCAGAGATCATTAGCCTTTACCTCTAAATATTTCAGCCTCGGCTGGGCGCGGTGGCTCACGCTTGTAATTCTAGCACTCTGGGAGGCCGAGGCGGGCGGATTGCTCAAGGTCAGGAGTTCAAAACCAGCCTGAGCGAGACCCCATCTCTAGTATAAAAATAGAAAGAAATTAATTGGCCAACTAATATATATATAAAAATTAGCCGAGCATGGTGGCACGTGCCTGTAGTCCCAGTGACTCGGGAGGCTGAGGCAGTAGGATTGCTTGAGCCCAGAAGTTTGAGGTTGCTGTGAGCTAGGCTGACACCACAACACTCACTCTAGCCTAGGCAAGAAAGCGAGACTCTGTCTCAAAAAAAAAAAAAAAAATTTCAGCCTGTATCTCAACTAAGCACAAAGACATCCTCTTGTAAAACCTCAATGTGGTGATGAAATTTGGAGAATTTAACATTGATACAATGCTGCTATCAAAAACAAAGTCCATAGTCAGATTTGGCTAATTGTCCAGTGTTGTCCAAAGCAACCTTTTCCCCCCTATCTAAGATCATGCATTGCATTATATTTGTCATTTCTTTTTTTTTTTTTTGAGACTGAGTCTCACTCTGTCACCCTGGGTAGAATGCTATGGCGTCAGCCTCAGCCTAGCTCACAGCTATCTCAAACTCCTGGACTCAAGAGATCCTCCTGCCTCAGCCTCCTGAGTAGCTGGGAATACAGGCATGCACCACCATGCCTGGCTAATTTTTTCTAGTACAGACAGGGCCTTGCTCTTGCTCAGGCTGGTCATGAACTCCTGACCTCAAGCAATCCTCCCTCCTCGGCCTCCCAGAGTGCTAGGATTACAGGTGTGAGCCACTGCGCCCAGCCCCTGTCATTTCTTTTTAATCTCTAATCTGGAACATTCCCTTTATCTTTCATGATAATGACAATTTTTTAAGAGTACAGGCCATTTTGCCTATCTTTTGAGTTTTACAAGATGTGGCCAGGTGTGGTAGCTCACGCCTATAAACCTAGCACTCTTGGAGACTGAGGCAGGAGGATCCCTTGAGGCCAGAAATTTGAGACCAACCTGACCAAGAGTGAAACCCCATCTCTACAAAAAATAGAAAAATTAGTTGGGCATGGTAGCACACACCTCTAGCCCTAGTTACTTGGGAGACTGAGGCAGGAGGATCCCTTGAGCCCAAGAGTTTGAAGTTGCTGTGAGCGACAGTGTTGCCACTGCATTCTAGCCTTGTGACAGAGCAAGACTCTGTCTTAAAAAAAAATATAAAAGGATATTATATGTTTAGGATTGAGGATTAATTATTGATGGTCCTCGTTTCTGGTGAGCGTTATCTGAAGAGTAACTTCAAATATTTTGTTATTTTGAGCAAGTCACTTTTATATTTTGTTTTGGTAAAATGCAAATTATGATAATTTCTTAAGTATATATATTTATTAACTATTGTAAAATTTTAGGTTTACACAAAGTAAGGAAATAGTATAATCAATCCATGTGTCTATCACCCAGCTTCAACAAATAACACTTTGACATTCTTGGTTCATCTTTTCTCCTCAACACTTCTGTTTTTTGCTGAGATTTAAAGCCACAATCCCAGACATCACATCATTTCACTTATAAATATTTTGGTATATGTGTTTAACAGATTGGAACTTTAAAAAAAACACAACACCATTGTCACACCCAACAAAACATAATTTCTTTTTTATATAGAATATTTATTACTTTTTTATTCATTTTTTATTTTTTGCTAAGGTTCAAGCTAAAAACATAATTTCTTAACATCATCTATTATTCAGTGTTCAATTTTCCCTAATTGTTTTAAAATTGTTTTTTACAGTTGTTTTATTTTGAACCAGGAACCAAATAAGGTCGATTGCCTTGGGTGTTGTTTTCTAACAGCTCCTCTCCTTTCTTTTTCTTTTCTTTTTTTTTTTTTGGTTAACATTATATTTGGAAGAAATTGAGTCATTTATTGTCTAGAACTTCCCTCATTTTAGATTTGTCTGATACCTTAATCATGTTCTTCTATCTTATTTCCTATAAACTGGTGGTTAGCTTTAGAGGCTTGCTTAGATTTAACTTCATCTTTTGGGTTATTTTTTTTTTTTGGCAAGAATACTTCATAAATAATATTGGACATTATGCATAGATTTAATGTGTATTAAAGTAAGTATATATTGTATGAAATTTATTTGAAGAAGCAAACTAGTAGAGAAGGAAACAGTATTGTTTCTGGTTACTGTTTTTTAGCCAGAAGATCAGCTGCCATGTTACTTGACTCACACTAACCCTAGAGTGGATGAGATTGTCCTTGAGAACCTCCACCTTAATAGTCATGTTAAGGAAACTACAAGAGGACCCCGGTAAGGACAAAATGTCAGTGCTCATTTACTTTTAAGGAATGATGTCAACCCTCTTTTGTTTGTTTCAATTTTTAAAATTTCAATGTCTTATTCTAGATACTGTCCCTCCATTGAATCAAAGGTTTTGCGTTTTCCAAACCGTCTACATCAAGTTTGGTTGGAACCTGAAGGAATGGATTCTGACCTTATCTATCCCCAGGGGTTATCTATGACGCTACCAGCTGAGTTACAGGAAAAAATGATCACGTGCATCAGAGGCTTGGAGAAAGCTAAAATGATTCACCCAGGTAAAGAGGGTCACAGCTGCCCTTCAGTGTAACTGAGCCCTGCTTTTAGTGGTCAGGAAGAAGGGCTCAGCTACGGTCATTGTTGCTTAGGGGCTCAGAGGATGAAGCCCAACATCTGTACATTTAAATAATCTTGTTTTTTGGCCGGGCGAGGTGGCTCATGCCTGTAATCCTAGCACTCTGGGAGGCCAAGGCGGGCGGATTGCTCAAGGTCAGGAGTTCGAAACCAGCCTGAGCAAGAGCAAGACCCCGTCTCTACTATAAATAGAAAGAAATTAATTGGCCAACTAATATATATAGAAAAAATTAGCCAGGCATGGTGGCGCATGCATGTAGTCCCAGCTACTCGGGAGGCTGAGACAGTAGGATTGTTTAAGCCCAGGACTTTGAGGTTGCTGTGAGCTAGGCTGACGCGATGGCACTCAATCTAGCTCGGGCAACAAAGCAAGACTGTCTCAAAAATAATAATAATAATCTTGTTTTTGAAGGGCATTTAATGGTAATCTTTGCATCTCTACCTTGAAGCAAATCCAGCTCCTTTTTTACTTATTTTATGCCATTTATTCTTTGGTCAGGCTATGGTGTTCAGTATGATTATTTAGATCCCCGTCAGATCTCTCCTTCCCTCGAGACTCATTTGGTTCAACGGCTCTTCTTTGCTGGACAGATCAATGGCACCACTGGTTATGAGGAAGCTGCAGCTCAAGTAAGAGGTTACTAAAATGTTACTGTAAATCAAGAGGGACTATTTAACTTGTATTCCTCCTTTTAACGTCTGTTAACTATATAAATCTTAACTCATAATTGCAATAGAAGGTGGTTTCTGTTTTAGGGTATATGGACATGGCTTTTGTAAATAATAGGATTTTAAAAATACATGTGGCTGTATTACTCATTTCTGAGCTCCTAGATCTGATGCTATATTTTGATTAGATTATTGCATTGCTTCTGAAGCTTAAAAATTATTTTAATATAACTTTATTAAAAATTATATTATTCCTTGTAAGTGGGGAATTATGTTACTTTTATTTATAAGTGGGAAAAGGCTAGACAATTTTCATGGGTGGGTTTAAAAAAAATATTAGCATACCACCCCCTCCCAGCCTTATCAGGAATGTTAGGTATCCCAGAAAGCAATGAATCATAGCCTGTTAAAGAGGTACATCACCCATATGTATTCTATTTCCAAACATGAATCACATTTTCTATCTCTATTTTATCCCTCATGGGCAGTGCCTGTTTTCTTCCTGTCCCATGCCATTCTTTCCAGCTAGGCTTCTGAATAGGATAGCCCTTTGTTCAAGTCATAATGGCCTTTTTAACATTTCAGTCCTCTTGTAGGGTGTGATAGCTGGAATCAATGCCAGTCTCCGGGTCAGTCGAAAGCCTCCCTTTGTCGTTAGCCGAACGGAAGGCTACATAGGAGTCTTGATTGATGACCTCACCACACTGGGCACCAGCGAACCCTATCGCATGTTTACCAGTCGAGTGGAGTTCCGTTTGTCACTGCGCCCTGATAACGCTGACAGCCGGCTCACGTTTCGAGGTACCTCTTCACTGAGCCCTGCAACCTGGCTTACTCTTCTTTGAAACCTCTTGTTATATTCTCTCTCTCCCTTCCCTAGGGTATAAGGAAGCTGGCTGTGTGTCCCAACAACGATATGAAAGAGCTTCTTGGATGAAGTCTTCTTTAGAAGAAGGCATTTCTGTGTTGAAATCCATTGAGTTTTCAAGCTCTAAATGGAAAAGCTTAATCCCAGAGGCTTCTATAAGTATTACCAGAAGTCTGCCTGTAAGGTAGGCATTTTTAAAATAGACCTTTCTCACTTTTTATAGAAAAATAAGATCACTTGAGAGAGATATTACGTATAGTCCTTTTTTTTTTTGTTTTCAGAGATGGGGTGTCACTCTTGCTCAGGCTGGTCTTGAACTCCTGAGCCCAAGCGATCCTCACACCTCAGCCTCCCAGAGTGCTAGGATTACAGGTGTGAGCCACCTTCCCCAGCCCAGACATTACCTATCGTATCTACCTGCACATTTTAAATGAATATGGCTTCCTTTTGGTGTCTTTTCAAAATCTTTTAGATGTAATTCATTTATTTTTTCAGTATTAAAAAATATATATATAATTTAAAATTTGACATATAATTTCTCTGTGGCTCCCTTGAGTTCTTTTGGTTTTCCTAAGATTTAGAGGGCCCAAACTGAGAAATATAGTTATCTGCTTTCTTTTCTAGGCTCAGAGCAATGGGAGTGATCTCATCTTGTCTGTGAAACACCTTTGATAAAAACAAAGCAGAGTGTTATAAATTCTTTGGACTTACTCAAAGAGTCCCTTGTTGCATTTTAAGTTTTTGTCCTTGTTTTCAACATTCCAGTTATATGGACTCGATAAGTCTAAAGGACATTAATATAGAGCATTTTTCTCCAGAGATATGTACCTAAGGATGTTACATAATTCAAAAATCTGTATATTTTACCATTGATTTTTCCCATTTGAAAAAATGTAAACTAATTAGGGTAGAAGAAGATGCCCAGAGGGCATAACTACAATTATTGTAGCTTACAAACACTTTATGCACATCACAGTGACACTGGTCTTGCTTATGGTGGCATTGATCTTGTGTATTTTATCCCCTTTTTAACCCCCGTTTTCTTGTGGTAGTTTTTGTGGATTTAAAGATATGCCCATTTTAATGCTGCTCTTTATTATCTCTATCTTTCTAAGTGTTCCCTCCTAATTAGCAAACTGGCATATGACCTTTTTTAGCTGTCATCTCATCAGAGTGTTTTATCTTTTGTAGCTTTTGTCCCATGTTTCCATATTCATGGGATTTCCTAAAGCACTAGCACCACTGTACAATATTTTTTTTTCTTTTTTTTTTTGAGACAGAGTCTCGCCTTGTTGCCTAGGCTAGAGTGAGTGCCGTGGCGTCAGCCTAGCTCACAGCAACCTCAAACTCCTGGGCTCAAGCAATCCTGCTGTCTCAGCCTCCCGAGTAGCTGGGACTACAGGCATGCGCCACCATGCCCAGCTAATTTTTTCTATATATATTAGTTGGCCAATTAATTTCTTCTAATTTATAGTAAGGCGGTCTCGCTCTTGCTCAGGCTGGTTTCGACTCCTGACCGAGCAATCCCCTGCCTCGGCCTCCCAGAGTGCTAGGATTACAGGCGTGAGCCACCGTGCCCGGGCTATGGTTATTTTCTGTCCAATGCCTTGAATTTGCCATACACTTTGGAGAGTCTATTAATGCTATAGGCTCATTTTGGTCAAATGAGTACTCATTTATTTTTATGATGCCTGGAAAGTAAGAGGTGCCTGGCATTGTTGTCATTTCATCAACGTTTTCTTTAGTATAAAGCTGGAGAGTGACTGGGCGTAATGAGCTCATGCCTGTAATCCTAGCACTCTGGGAGGCGGAGGCAGGAGGATAGCTTGAGCTCAGGAGTTTGAGACCAGCCTGAGCAAAAGCAAGACCCCATCTCTAATTTAAAAAAAAAAAACCCATGTGGTAAAAATTGAAATGGAGATTATAGCGCATTAGGTGAAAATATGACTGAAAGAATACTTATTAACTCCTATATCATATTTTTTTAGTGAGAGTTCTAAGATAAGAACTCCTATGGCATTTTAATTTTTTTTTTGATGGCAGGAGTCTCACTTGTTGCCCAGGCTAGAGGAGTGCCGTGGCGTCAGCCTAGCTCACAGCAACTCAAACTCCTGGGCTCAAGCATCCTTGCCTCAGCCCTCCGAGTAGCTGGAGACTACAGGCATGCGCCACCATGCCCGGCTAATTTCTAATATATTAGTTGCAATTAATTTATTTCTAATATAGAGAGCGAGGTCTCGCTCTTGCTCAGGCTGGTTTCGAACTCCTGACCTTGAGCATCCACCGTCTCGGCCTCCAGAGAGCTAGGATTACAGGCGTGAGCCACCGCGCCCGGCCGGCATTTTAATTTTTATCAGTTTGTTTTGCAGAGACTTCAAACATGCTCATAACAGCTCTGGTCTTCCTTAGGGAGTTCTGCAAAAGAAAGCAGGAAACCTCACTCATGGTTCCTGTATGCAAAGGATGACTCATTCACAGGACACTAGGACCTAACATAGTGTAGGTGTAAAAAGCACATTCCCTATGCTTGGGAAATTTGATGGAACACTTGTTAGAGGATATTCTGTCCTTACACAAAAGGGAGGACAAATGGATTATTGACATTCCACCCTTACCAACTACCTAATTTCTCCTGATAAGAAGTTGGGAGAACCAAATATAAGTCTTTATGAGGTCCTACTGTTTTGCAGATGCTATTACATTTGCTCAGTGTACTTAGACAATTAAGAGTATCTTTTCAGCCGGGCGGCTGTGGCTCACGCCTGTAATCCTAGCTCTTGGGAGCGAGGCAGCGTGCTCAAGGTCAGGAGTTCGAAACCAGCCTGAGCAAGAGCGAGACCCGTCTCTACTATAAAGAAATTAATTGGCCAACTGATATATATATAAAAAAAAAAAATTAGCCGGGCATGGTGGTGCATGCCTGTAGTCCAGCTACCGGCGAGCTGAGGCAGAAGGATCACTGGGAGCCCAGGAGATTGAGGTTGCTGTGAGCTAGGCTGACGCCACGGCACTCACTCTAGCCTGGGCAACAAAGCGAGACTCTGTCTCAAAAAAAAAAAAAAAAAAAGAGTATTCTTTTCTTTTTTTCTTTTTTTTTTTTTCTCCCCCTCTAGAGTATCTTTTCTTATTGATTCTAGATTTGGAATTATTCCATAAATGGATCCTATGTTAATAAACTTTATATTTTGCAGCGCTCTGGATGTTCTGAAGTATGAGGAAGTTGACATGGAGTTATTAGCTAAGGCTGTTCCAGACCCCTTGAAGAAGTACACTAAATGTAGAGAGCTAGCTGCAAGACTGAGAATAGAAGGTAGAAAAACAATTTTTACCTGAGATTCCTATAGCCTATACACTGTCTTGTTTTTTTTTCCTTTTTTTTCTTTATTATTTTTCTTTTCTTTGTATTTTTTTTGAAGGGGATGAGGCCTTTGAGATACACTTTCTTTTCCACTTGTGCAAATTATGAGTAAACAGTAGATCCATTAAGAGTTCTGTGCCAGGCCAGGCGCACCGGCTCACACCTGTAATCCTAGCACTCCGGGAGCCGAGGCGGAGATCGTTTGAGCTAGGAGTTCGAAACCAGCCTGAGCAAGGAGCAACCCGACCAGGCCACGCCTGTAATCTAGCACTCTGGGAGCCGAGGCAGGCGGATGCTCGAGGTCAGGAGTTCAAAACCAGCCTGACAAGAGCGAGACCCTTCTACTATAAAAAATAGAAAGAATTAATTGCCAACTAAAATATATATATATTGTAGAAAAATTAGCCAGGCATGGTGGCGATGCCTATAGTCCCAGCTTCTCGGAGGCTGAGGCAGGAGATTGCTTGAGCCCAGGAGATTGAGGTTGCTGTGAGCTAGGTGACCCACCAGCGACCACTCTAGCTGGGAGCAAAGTGAGACTTTGTCTCGAAAAAAAAGAGCAAGACCCCGTCTTACCAAAAATAGTAAGAATTAATTGACAGCTAAAAAGATATAGAAAAAGATTAGCGGCTCTTTGGACTTACTCAAAGAGTCCCTTGTTGCATTTTAAGTTTTTGTCCTTGTTTTCAACATTCCAGTTATATGGACTCGATGAGTCTAAAGACATTAATATAGAGCATTTTTCTCCAGAGATATGTACCTAAGGATGTTACATAATTCAAAAATCTGTATATTTTACCATTGATTTTTCCCATTTGAAAAAATGTAAACTAATTAGGGTAGAAGAAGATGCCCAGAGGGCATAACTACAATTATTGTAGCTTACAAACACTTTATGCACATCACAGTGACACTGGTCTTGCTTATGGTGGCATTGATCTTGTGTATTTTATCCCCTTTTTAACCCCGGTTTTCTTGTGGTAGTTTTTGTGGATTTAAAGATATGCCCATTTTATTTTTTTTTTTTGAGACAGAGTCTCACTTTGTTGCCCAGGCTAGAGTGAGTGCCATGGCGTCAGCCTAGCTCACAGCAACCTCAAACTCCTGGCTCAAGCAATCCTCCTGCCTCAGCCTCCCGAGTAGCTGGGACTACAGGCATGCGCCACCATGCCCGGCTAATTTTTGTGTATATATTTTTAGTTGGTCAATTAATTTATTTCTATTTTAGTAGAGACGGGTCTCGCTCAGGCCGGTTTCGAACTCCTACCTTGAGCAATCCAACTCCTGACTTGAGCAATCCGCCCGCCTCGGCCTCTCTAAGTGCTAGGATTACAAGCGTGAGCCACCACGCCCGGCCTGATATGCCCATTTTAATGCTGCTCTTTATTATCTCTATCTTTCTAAGTGTTCCCTCCCTAATTAGCAAACTGGCATATGACCTTTTTTAGCTGTCATCTCATCAGGGTGTTTTATCTTTTGTAACTTTTGTCCCATGTTTCCATATTCATGAGGATTTCCTAAAGCACTAGCACCACTGTTACAGTATATTTTTTTTTTTTTTTTTTTTTGAGACAGAGTCTCGCCTTGTTTCCTAGGCTAGAGTGAGTGCCGTGGCATCAGCCTAGCTCACAGCAACCTCAAACTCCTGGGCTCAAGCAATCCTGCTGTCTCAGCCTCCTGAGTAGCTGGGACTACAGGCATGTGCCACCATCGCCGGCTAATTTTTTCTATATATATTAGTTGGCCAATTAATTTCTTTCTATTTATAGTAGAGGCGGGGTCTCGCTCTTGCTCAGGCTGGTTTCGACTCCTGACCTCGAGCAATCCGCCTGCCTCGGCCTCCCAGAGTGCTAGGATTACAGGCGTGAGCCACCGTGTCCGGGCTATGGTTATTTTCTGTCCAATGCCTTGAATTTGCCATACACTTTGTAGAGTCTATTAATGCTATAGGCTCATTTTGGTCAAATGAGTACTCATTTATTTTTATGATGCCTGGAAAGTAAGAGGTGCCTGGCATTGTTGTCATTTCATCAACGTTCTTTTTTTTTTTTTTTTTTTTTTTCATATTTTCTTAAATGGATCATTCCTAGAAATCAACGTTTCTTTAGTATAAGCTGGAGAGTGACTGGGCGTAATGGCCTCACGCCTGTAATCCTAGCACTCTGGGAGCGTGGGAGGCAGGAGATATAGCTTGAGCTCAGGAGTTTGAGACCAGCCTGAGCAAAAGCAAGGACCCCATCTTCTAATTAAAAAAAAAAACAAAACCCATGTGGTAAAAATTGAAATGGAGATTATAGCGCATTAGGTGAAAATATGACTGAAAGAATACTTAACTCCTATATCATATTTTTTTAGTGAGAGTTCTAAGATAAGAACTCCTATGGCATTTTAATTTTTATCAGTTTGTTTTGCAGAGACTTCAAACATGCTCATAACAGCCTCTTGGTCTTCCTTAGGGAGTTCTGCAAAAGAAAGCAGGAAACCTCACTCATGGTTCCTAGTATGCAAAGGATGACTCATTCACAGGACACTAGGACCTAACATAGTGTAGGTGTAAAAAGCACATTCCCTATGCTTGGGAAATTTGATGGAACACTTGTTAGAGGATATTCTGTCCTTACACAAAAGGGAGGACAAATGGATTATTGACATTCCACCCTTACCAACTACCTAATTCTCCTGATAAGAAGTTAGGGAGAACCAAATAATAAGTCTTATTGAGGTCCTACTGTTTTGCAGATGCTATTACATTTGCTCAGTGTACTTAGAAACAATTAAGAGTATCTTTTCTTATTGATTCTAGATTTGGAATTATTCCATAAATGGATCCTTATGTTAATAAAACTTTTATATATTTGCAGCGCTCTGGATGTTCTGAAGTATGAGGAAGTTGACATGGAGTTATTAGCTAAGGCTGTTCCAGACCCCTTGAAGAAGTACACTAAATGTAGAGAGCTAGCTGCAAGACTGAGAATAGAAGGTAGAAAACAATTTTTTACCTGAGATTCCTATAGCCTATACACTGTCTTGTCTTTTTTTTTTCCTTTTTTTTCTTTATTATTTTTCTTTTCTTTGTATTTTTTTTGAAGGGGATGAGGCCTTTGAGATACACTTTCTTTTCCACTTGTGCAAATTATGAGTAAACAGTAGATCCATTAAGAGTTCTGTGCCAGGCCAGGCGCACCGGCTCACACCTGTAATCCTAGCACTCCGGGAGGCCGAGGCGGGAGATCGTTTGAGCTCAGGAGTTCGAAACCAGCCTGAGCAAGAGCGAGACCCGACCAGGCCACGCCTGTAATCCTAGCACTCTGGGAGGCGAGCAGGCGATTGCTCGAGGTCAGGAGTTCAAAACCAGCCTGAGCAAGAGCGAGACCCCGTCTCTACTATATAAAATAGAAAGAATTAATTTGACCAACTAATATATATATATATGTAGAAAAATTAGCCAGCATGGTGGGCATGCCTGTAGTCCAGTCTCAGGAGGCTGAGGCAGGAGGATTGCTTGAGCCCAGGAGATGAGTTGCTGTGGAGCTAGGCTGACGCCACGGCACTCACTCTAGCCTGGGCAACAAAGTGGAGCTTTGTCTCAAAAAAAAAAAAAAAAAAGAGCAAGACCCCCGTCTCTACCAAAAATAGTAAGAATTTAATTGGACAGCTAAAAAAGATATAGAAAAAAATTAGCCGGGCATGGTGGCGTATGCCTATAGTCCCAGCTACTCAGGAGGCTGAGGCAGAAGGATCGCTTGAGCCCAGGAGTTCGAGGTTCCTGTGAGCTAGGCTGACACCATGGCACTCTAGCCTGGGCAACAAAGTGAGATATGTCTCAAAAAAATAAAAAAAGAGTTCTGTGCCAGGAGGAGCCATTGTTATGGTAGGACCAGCATAGTATTATCCTCTGTGCCATCTGAGTGTGGTCACCAGGTAGCCACATTGCAACACCTGAAGCTTGTTAGAAATGAAGACTCTCAGGCTCCACCTCAGGCCCACTGAGTGAGAATCTGCATTTTAACAAGATCCCCAGGTGATTTGAGTGCACATTTCAAGTAAGTGGTACCGAAGAGCTCCTTGTCAAAAACACTTATTTTTAACCTTGAACTTTTTTGTGATATTCTCCCCACCTAATGTTCTGGAGTCTTGCTCTGTCACCTTGGCTAGAGTGCCATGGCGTCTCACAGCAACCTCCTGGGCTCAAGCGTATTCTCTACTTCAGCCTCCTGAGTACAAGGAACTATAGGCACACACTACATATCCAGCTAATTTCTTCTATTTTTAGTAGAGATGGGTCTCACTCTTGCTCAGGCTGGTCTCGAATTCCTGAGCTCAAGCAATTCTCCCATCTCAGCTTCCAGAGTGCTAGGATTACAGGTATGAGCCACTTTGCCCAGCCCAGAAGCTCTTTGTCAATGTAAAAGGCTATATAAATGTAAGTGTTAGTATAATCTAGGTATCATAACATAATTCTAATTTTTTCACCAGCCACTTATGAATCAGCATTTTTCCAGCAACTACAAGAAATAAAGGAAGTTCAGCGAGATGAAGCTCTCCAGCTGCCAAGAGACCTAGATTATTTGTCTATCAAGGATGTGTCTTTGTCCCAGGAAGTTCGGAGAGAACATACATTTCAGTCGTCCACAGACGGTAAGAAACAGGCAGTAGAATAGGAGCAAGTTATAAATATCTGGTGCTTTAATTTTTTAAACCTAGGATTTGTAATGGTCATATAACTGTATTATTAATCATAAGAAATTTACCTTAGATTTCCTATATCTCTGTGTATGATAGATGTTGATATATCCCTTGAGAGAGGATAAATCTTAGAATAAATAAATAACTGGAAGTCAGAACTTTTTTTTTTTTTTTTTTTTTGGACAGAGTCTCACTTTGTTCCAGGCTAGAGTGGATGCCGTGGTTCAGCCTAGCTCACAGCAACCTCAAAGTCCTGGGCTCCAAGCAATCCTCCTGCCTCAGCTCCTGAGTAGCTGGGACTACAAGCATGCACACCATGCCCAGCTAATTTTCTATATATATTAGTTGGCCAATTAATTTCTTTCTATTTATAATAGAGATGGGGTTTCACTCTTGCTCAGGCTGGTTTCAAACTCCTGACCTTGAGCAATCCGCCCACCTCGGCCTCCCAGAGGGCTAGGATTACAGGCGTGAGCCACCACGCCCAGCCTTGGAAGACAAAACTTGATTTGATTATAATTATTCTCTTGTCCCAACCATATGCTAAACCATCTATATAAACTAGTATGCATGGCTTAAAAGAAACCACACTGTGTTGAAAGGTAGTAACATATTAGTGGTTTTCAAATCACTACCTGGATCCCTCCCTACAAGTTTCATGGTATTATCTTGGGAGTGAATAGGAAGAGGAAGAGAACCAAAGAGTTCCCCCACCCTGTGTTTCAGCCTACTTGTGTGCATGTGCACATTCGTATGTGTAAACCTTTCATTTATTATATAATATATAGTATTGGGCTTCTAATAAATATTTCAAGACTGATATATAGAGAATATTCATACATTTCCCTGTGCAAATACATTGCAGAAATAACAATACAATTAAAAATGGAGGGTGCTGCCCCACACCACTGGAGATGTTACATTATCTACAGTATACATACCTTATTAGAAAATCATATGACTTCAAGGATTTCAAATAAGGGACTATGGACCTGTATTTGAAGAAAGGAACTCTATTACAGTTTTTCTTAGTTTAATGAAAAGAAAAAGTAGGTACTCTAATATCTGTTAGTCATATGATCTTGCACTAGTCATTTTAACTTCTCTGAGCCTGAGTTTCCTATCTGTAAAATGAAGACATAAATAATAATCACATTTCGGCTGTGCTCGGTGGCTCACGCCTATAATCCTAGCTCTCTGGGAGGCTGAGGCGGGCTGATTGCTCAAGGTCAGGAGATCGAAACCAGCCTGAGCAAGACTGAGACCCCATCTCTACTATAAGTAGAACAAAATTAATTGGCCAACTAATATATAGAGAAAAAATTAGCCAGGCATGGTGGTGCATGCCTGTAGTCCCAGCTACTTGGGAGGCTGAGGCAGCAGGATTGCTTGAGCCCAGGAGTTTGAGATTGGTTTTTTTTTTTTTGGAACAGAGTCTCACTTTGTTGCCCAGGCTAGAGTGGATGCCGTGGTGTCAGCCTAGCTCACAGCAACCTCAAAGTCCTGGGCTCAAGCAATCCTCCTGCCTCAGCTCCTGAGTAGCTGGGACTACAAGCATGCACCACCATGCCCAGCTAATTTTCTATATATATTAGTTGGCCAATTAATTTCTTCTATTTATTATAGAGATTGAGAATCTGCATTTTAACAAGATCCCCAGGTGATTTGAGTGCACATTTCAAGTAAGTGGTACCGAAGAGCTCCTTGTCAAAAACACTTATTTTTAACCTTGAACTTTTTTGTGACATTCTCCCCACCTAATGTTCTGGAGTCTCGCTCTGTCACCTTGGCTAGAGTGCCATGGCGTCCTCACAGCAACCTCCTGGGCTCAAGCTATTCTCCTACTTCAGCCTCCTGAGTACAAGGAACTATAGGCACACACTACCATATCCAGCTAATTTCTTTCTATTTTTAGTAGAGATGGGGTCTCACTCTTGCTCAGGCTGGTCTCGAATTCCTGAGCTCAAGCAATTCTCCCATCTCAGCTTCCCAGAGTGCTAGGATTACAGGTATGAGCCACTTTGCCCAGCCCAGAAGCTCTTTGTCAATTGTAAAAGGCTATATAAATGTAAGTTGTTAGTATAATCTAGGTATCATAACATAATTCTAATTTTTTTCACCAGCCACTTATGAATCAGCATTTTTCCAGCAACTACAAGAAATAAAGGAAGTTCAGCGAGATGAAGCTCTCCAGCTGCCAAGAGACCTAGATTATTTGTCTATCAAGGATGTGTCTTTGTCCCAGGAAGTTCGAGAGAAACTACATTTCAGTCGTCCACAGACGGTAAGAAAACAGGCAGTAGAATAGGAGCAAGTTATAAATATCTGGTGCTTTAATTTTTTAAACCTAGGATTTGTAATGGTCATATAACTGTATTATTTAATCATAAGAAATTTTACCTTAGATTTTCCTATATCTCTGTGTATGATAGATGTTGATATATCCCTTGAGAGAGGATAAATCTTAGAATAAATAAATAACTGGAAGTCAGAACTTTTTTTTTTTTTTTGGAGACAGAGTCTCACTTTGTTGCCCAGGCTAGAGTGAGTGCGTGGTGTCAGCTAGCTCACAGGCACCTCAAAGTCCTGGCTACAAGCAATCGTCACTTGGCCTCAGCGTCCTGAGGTAGCTGGGACTACAAGCATGCACCACATGCCCAGCTAATTTTTTCTATATATATTAGTGTGGCCAATTATTCTTTCATTGTCATAGATAGAGATGGGTTTACTCACTTGCTCAGGGCTGGTTTCAAACTCCGTGGACCTTGAGCATCGCCCACTCGGCCCCAGCAGGGCTAGATTACAGGCGTGGAAGCCAGCACTCCCAGCGCTTGGAAGGCAAATTGATTTGATCTATAATTATTTCTCTGTGTCCAGACATATGCTAAAGCGCTCTATATAAACAGTATGCAGGCTTAAAAGAACACACTGTGTTGAAGGAGGTAGAACATATTAGTGGTTTTCAATCCACTACGCTGGATCCTCCCTACAAGTTTCATGGTATTATCTGTGGGATAAGATAGGAGACGAAGAGACCAAAGAGTTCGCCCACCTGTGTTAGTGTGTGTTGTGTATTTGTTGTGAAACCTTTCATTATTTATTATGTGTGTCTTTAATATTCTTTTTGTGTTTTACTTTGTTCTTTTCATTGCAGAAATAATATAAATAATGTAGGTGCTGCCCTACACACTGATATGTTACATATGATTTTTAACTTTTAGAAAATGTATGTGTTTAAGGGACTATGGATCTTTTGAAGAAAGGAACCTATACAGTTCTTAGTTAATGAAAAGAAAAATATGTACTCTATATTTAAGTCATTATGATCTTGCACTATGAGCCTGATGTTTTCTGTAAAATGAATGTTAATATTTGTGTCTCTGTGTGTGTGTCTTAAATCCTGTTTGGTGATTGTGTGTGTGTGTGTTATGTGTCTGGAGATACAGCCTGAGCAAGACTGAGACCATCTCTATATTATTGTTTATTTGGCAACTATAGTGTTTTAGCCATGTGTCATGGTGGTGCTATGCCTGTTTGTGTGTGTGTGTGTGTCTGTTGTTTGGCTTGACCATGTGTTTTGTGTGTGTGTGTGTGTGCGGACCGCCCACTGTTCTGTTCTGGAAACAAGCAGGACTCTGTCTAATAATTACAATATTAATAATCACATCCTTATTACGTAGTAAGATAAATATATGAGGATATTTACTTTGGTGTTGTTAGGACGATATTGATTCAATTGATATAGCTCGGTTAACATTTCTTTGGCTTTTAATTCTTAGATTGGGCCTTGTATACGGGAGATGAACCTGCTGCCATCATCAATCTGCTTCAGATTTGTGAAGACCACTCAGCAGAGACAGGCATTCTATGAATCAATTGCCCAAGACTTTTGAAAAAAACCCCCCCAAATTTTTTACACTTTATGATACAGACCAACTTCAAGAGAGAGAGTATAGCTTTCATTTATAGAAGACTTCAAATTGTGAATAATTTAAGCAATACGCAAGGTATAGATAAGAGGATGAGAAAACTATTTAGCACCTGTTAAAATAGCTTTATTAGGTTATTATGAGTTTGTCATTAATTTGTATGATAGAGGACAGAGATTATAATTATGCTTTTTGTGTCTGAAAAACTAGTTGTAAACAACTTATAATTCTTTCTCCTAAGAAGCTTAATACTGGTTAGCCTGTCTCCATACTACTTCTGTCGCACACTGTTTCATCCCAAGAGACCAAATATAGTGAACCTAAAATAAGACCTGAAAACAAAAATCACAAACTTGCACATTTTGCCTACCTTATAAGGACATTTGCCCATTAAGAGTACTAAATTAATATAAAATTCTTTGAACCTGTTTTGATCAGATGGGAGGTTGCTCTATAGATACTTCGCTC